GGCAGCAGCCTCGGGGAAAAGTCCCATAGCTCCGAAACGGGCGAAGATGCAAACAGCCATGAAGGGGAGATTGGAGGTAGCAACGAGTGCCCCGAAACAGCCCGGCCACTTCCCCACAGGGCGCGTCCCTGTGTACATGGCAACAGGGCGGGTCTCCAAGAGACGCCGCCACAACTACGCCCCGGCACAGTTGGCTGTTCCGCGCCGCCCGGGCGACGACCTCCACACTCCTTGCCCCGGGTGGGGTCGAAACGCCCCCACACCTGGCAGGGCATCGGAGCTCTTATAGGGAGGCGGGACCACCTGTGATTGACAGTCCGGCGTCCACTGAGAACAAGGGACAGGGTGGAGGGAAGGATAAAAGGGGGAACGGAAAGGGAGACCGGGGAGGAAGAAAGGCGGAGCAGAGGAAGGAGACGGGCTGACTGAGAGTCGAAGGGAGAGGCGACGAGGCAGACGTCTCCCGTGGCTCTCGCGGGCGCAGGTTTGCCTTTGGTGACGTAACCAGGTAGCGGGCCCTATTCTGAGGTCTCCCGTTCCCCTTTAAAGGCGACTGGGGGGTAGGGACTCCCCCTCGGAGCGGGCTGGGGCACCACAGTGGCACAATCCAGAAATGACTCCTCTGGCTGGGTCCTTTCAGTGTCAGACCTCAGGTTGGAGTCAGGGATGGCTCATATTACGGTTCAGAGTTCCAAGATGGACTAGCGCCATTGTGACAGTGTGATCTTGTTAGGTCCCTGTGAAGACCCGGAACTTTGTCCGGTTTCAGCTCTAGCTGCATACTTGTCTGTTAGAGGGTGGGGTGATGGTTTGTTGTTTCGCCACAGCGATGGCAGTCCCTTGACCAGACACCAATTTGGGGCGATCGCCACGCGTGCTCTGGGTACGCTGGGATTATCTGGGGTCAAATTTGGTACCCATTCATTTCGAATTGGGGCTGCCTCTACTGCGGCTGCCAGGGGTTATCCCACCCCCGCGATTCAGAAGGTGGGCAGGTGGCGGTCTGCCGCGTATCAGTCTTATGTGCGCCCTTTTGTTGCATCATAAGTCATGCTGTGTCTAACTGTTGTTTTTCTTGTAGGTGCTGTTCTTGTTAAGGAGAGGCAGCGGGTTCTCGTCTGTGGCCATAGTTTTGTTTTTTGGGCTGCACATCAAGCTCTGAGGACTTCGATTGGTGCTCAGCTGGGGCTGAGCCAATGGGCCAGCACTGAATGGCGGGGCACCGAGGCCTTCACTAGTCGGGCCTCCTGCCTTTGTTATTTCAGGGACGAGATGACCCCCCCCCAACCTCATGTTTTAATTATCCACCTGGGAGGTCACAACTTGGGCTTACTCAAAGGTAAAGCCTTGGTTTTGCAGGCACTGGAGGACCTCCGGGCCATTTTGCGCCTTTGGCTGGGGGTCTCCTTGGTTTGGTCGGCCATGATGCCGCGCAGGGTGTAGTAGGATGCTGTCAGACCTTTGGGGATTGATCGGGCTTGGCGCAAGGCCGATAGGGATATGAGGAAGGCCTTGGCGGGCGGTTTGGGCCACTACCTGCCTCATCTTGATACTCACCCTGCCTGTGCAAGCCTTTATCGTGCTGATGGGGTTCATCTTTCTGAGAAAGGTAATGACGTTTTCTTGGAGGACTTACGGCAAGGGCTGCGGGAGGTGTTGGTCCTCTCGGTGGGAGCACTGGCCTAAGCTTGACCTCAGCCGTGGTGGAATGGGGCCTTGGGAATGTTTAGTTTGGAGAAGAGAAGATTGAGGGGGGACACGATTGCTCTCTTTAAATATTTGAAAGGCTGTCATTTGGAGGTGGGCAAGGAGCTGTTTCCAGTTGGCAGCAGAGGAGAGGACCTGAAGCAACGGGTTTAAATTACATGCAGAAAGGTATCGGCTGGATATTAGGAAAAACCTTTTCACGGTCAGAGTGGTTCTTCAAAGGTGGAATCAGCTGCCTAGGGAGGTGGTTAGCTCCCCTTCACTGACAGCTTTCAAGAAGCGGCTGGACGAATATTTGTCAGAGATGCTCTAGGCTGGTCCTGCACTGGGCAGGGGGTTGGACTAGATGGTCTGTAGGGCCCCTTCTAACTCTGTGATTCTATGATTCATAACTGTTCTTTATTTATCCTATTGTTACAGTATTTAGGTCATAAATGAGGCTTTGTTGTTTGCTCTGCCGGGGTCCTTCATGCCTCAAATGTGGCCAGAAAGAAGGGCATGTAGGGTTGCCATTCCCCAGGTCCCGGTGGGTTTCCCCCTGGTTTGGGGGGCTCCAATCCGCTGCCGGCCAGCTGACTGACAGGGGGAAAGCCCCGCCCCCAAGTCTGACTGCCAACAGCCACCCCCTCCTGCAAGATTTAATGGGCCCTTCAGCTGATTGATGGGGAGCAAGTGGCCCGCCGGTCAGCTGGAGGGCCCTTTGAATCTTGTGGGAGGGAGGGGACGCACCCCACCCCCATCTCTTCTCAAAAGCACTCAATGGATCCCTTTAAATGCTTTTGAGAAGAAGTGGGGGGGGGCGTGGATACTCGCACTCCAAGCATGCCCTGACTGAAGAGGGGGTTGTCTGGAGGGGTGGGGGGCAGTGTTCCCTCTAAGCTGAGTTAGTGTGAGCTAGCTCACAGTTCTTTAGCCTCCGGCTCACACATTGTTGTCTTCGCTCAGGAAGGATGGCTCCAGAGCAAGCTAATTTATGCGGCAGCCAAATGGCTTGCTCACAACTTGAATGCCAGTAGCTCACAAAGTACAATTTTTGCTCACAAGACCACAGCTTAGAGGGAACATTGGTGGGGGGTGCTCTAGGCTCTCCCCAGTCAAGTGTAGAGCCAGAGTGGAGGTAACCAGCCGAGGCCCTTGGAGTGCTCCAAGGCTGAAGGGGGTAGGAGGGTGGGGGGGCACCACAGGGCTCGTTGAAAGCAAGGTTGCAACCCCCTGGTGAGGGGCAGAGAATCCCCCACCCTCAGCTGATGTTTCCCACTGTTGCTCTGAGCGGCAGCCAGAGAAAAATAAAACGTAAAGAATGGCTGTCAGCCCCACCGTGTGACGTCACTTCTAGGGAAACCCAGAAAGTATGTCAGTCCTTTCTAGGTAAAAATTAGAGCGGCATGGTGTCAGTCCTGGGTTTTCTCAGAACTGACATCATGCTTGAACAGCTTCGGCAAAACCCACAAGGCCCTTCCCCTTCCCAAGACAAAACCCCAGGGCAGGGATGTCAAACATGAGGTATAACACAGAAAGAGGGAGTACTCTCTGTGTCAAGGTGAGAAGAAAATGGTAGGCAGGTAATTTATATCTCCTCAGGAAGGTGGGGTAGGGCTGAGTCATTATCTTGTAGGAGTTCCCCAGGCTATGAACATGCTAATGGAGGAGCTTTCCTGAGGAGGTTCTTTTGCATATGGATCATTTCCTGTTTCCTAAGGAGGTTATAATCTTATCTGTAATGCTATTGTCAGATGTAGAGCCTTTTGTGTTTTTCAGGACCGGAAACCATGCCCTAATTATTTTTAAACACTCTTCTTTCCTGTTGAAATTGTGTTTATGTTTATTAATTTCAATGGCTTCTCTGTGTAATCTGACATGGTAATTGGATGTGTTGTCCAGCCTTTCAATGTCTTGGAACAAAATACTGTGTCCTGTTTGAGTTAAGCTATGTTCAGCCACTGCTGATTTTTCAGGTTGGCCAAGTCTGCAGTGTCTTTCATGTTCTTTTATTCTGTCTTTCTTGTTCTTTTCTTCCTCAGGAAACAGGAAATCTCCTCAGGAAACAATCCATATAAAAAAGAACCTCCTCAGGAAAGCTCCTCCATTAGCATGTTCATAGCCTGGGGAACTCCTACAAGATAATGACTCAGCCCTACCCCACCTTCCTGAGGAGATATAAGTTACCTGCCTAGTATTTTGCTTCTCACCTTGACAGAGAGAGTACTCTATCTTTTTGTGTTATACCTCTGAGGATGCCAGTCACAGTTACTGGCGAAATGTCAGGTTCAACAATGCCAAGACCACAGCCTCACAACCCAGAAAATCTACAGCAACTAATGAACTCTGGCCGTGAAAGCCTTCGACAAGAAACTAAAAGAGAGTCCGTGTGATGTAGTGGTTAAGACTGGTATCTGGGAGACCAGGGTTCAAAGCTGCCCTCGTACCATGGAAGCTCACTGTGTGACCTCGGGCCAGTAACTCACTCAGCCTGACCTACCCCACAGGGTTGATTTTTTTAAAAAAATATTTATATACATTTCTGTCTAACATTATCAACTGGTAGATACTCCCAGAAAACCTAGGCTAAACCTAAATTTTCATACACCCACGTAACAACTCATACTGAGAAATGTTTGCAATAACCTTACAATTTTAACCAGATTCTATAATCATTTCTACACAGAAGAACTATTGTGTCTCAGAAATCCAATAACTGGCTTCCCGATTTCATCATAATCATAGGGTGAAAAAGACAACTGGGAACCAACAAAGAAATAATTGTTTACAGTTTCCCCCATAAACATCCCGAAGTGTGTCAAACCAGGCGTTTATGGAAGGCCCGTTTGGGTTTTCCCAGCTGGCTGCAATCATCTGTCGTGCAGCTGCAGTCAAGATCAAGACCAAGGAACATTACTCTTTTCCATTGAATAATCCGGCTATAAATCAAAACTAAAAAGGTCTGGAGACATAGTAAGAGAAATGTCTACCATTTGTGAGATCTTATCTGCAACTGTGCCCCAAAAGGATTGGCTCACTGGACAAGACCACCATAGGTGTAAGGGAGAGCCTCGTTTTACACCCTTTCCAGCAAAGTGGGCTATAAGAGGATCTAATGTTATTAGGTTTGGTTGGTGTGAGGATAAAATGGAGGAGCAGAGAATGATGTAAGCTGCTTTGGGTCCCCAATAGGATACTAAATAATTAAATAAATAAATAACAAAATTTTACAAAATCTTCGGTATGAAGATGACAGCATCAAACTGAAGAAATCAAAAAAACAAAAGAAAAAACCATTCATGAGAAACACTCACCCCTTCAGACCTCTTATCAGGGAAGATGCAAGTTTCACCACCAGCTGTAAAATTGCAGTAAACCTTGAAGGAATCCCTGGAGCAGCCTTGATTAGGGTCAACCCAGTATTCACCTGGAATTGGGACCAAACATTTTTTTAAAGGAAGAACCAGTTACACATTTCCGTTCCAACTGTCTGATCAAGTTTGTCCAGCTGACATTTTTTAAAAAAAAAAACCCATACACAACTAAAAAAAATGGAATTTATTTGACACTTCCTTTTTTACAGTAAAAATATGAAGTTGCATTCTTGTCCGTACTACTAAAAGGACACATGATAGTTGTCTAGGATCTGTACTCTCCCCCAGTGAGGATGTAGCAGTATTTTGAGTATATCATCATTTTTCTTGCTGATCACGCATGTTTTCACTGTAGCATGCACTCATATTAGGTTCAGCCCGGTGGGGGAGCAAGGGATCCCCCAATTTCGTGGCCTCCTGCCACCCCCCCCCCATAGGGGGTGGTGCTCCTGCACTCCCGGCCAGCTGGCCAGCAGAGAAGCCCCGCCCCCAACAGCCACAACACGGTGCAGTGTCCCCAACAGGATGACATCACACGGACAGGGACCTGCGTATCTTCAAAACCGCCTCTCCCCATTTGTCCCTTGCAGAGTGTTGCACTCAACTGATCAACATCTTCTGGTTGTCCCTGGCCTCAAGAATGTCCAGTTGGCTTCTCCTGCCTTGGCCCCAGTGTTACACGAGCTTGACGACCCCTCGTCGCTGTCACGCTGTCAGCCACCGTGTCCCACCTCCCCGGAGGAACCGCAGAGGCCTCAGACTTGTGGGAGAGGAGGAGGTTACGTCACCACCCTCTTCTCTCCCTTGGCAGGTCAGACAAAACTCTCTCTCCGTTTGTCCGTTCGCCCGTCGCCTGTGCCACATCCTCCCTGGCCTCTGCTACTGGTCCTCTTTTATTCCTGCCTCATGTCACCCGCCCTCCCCTGTGCTCCACCCTTCGCATCTCCCCTGTGGCCCCGCCCCCTCCTCTTATGCCGAGCCGCTGAGCCGTGGGTGTGGCGCCTTCTCTGCTCGCTTGCTCTCAGCCCACCGGGCGGGCAGGCTCCGTGCTCCTCCTTCCCCAAGCTGCTCTAGGCTGTGGGCGGGCTGTTGCGCTGGGCCGCTGGCCCGGTGCGGTTCCCTCTTGTCCTCTGGAAGCTTCCTTCCCCCTTGCCCACCTCTCGTCTGGGGTGGTGTCATCCTGCGGGTCTGTTGCCGGCTGCCGGGGCCTGGGTGACTCGGCGGCGTTGGGATCGGTCGCCCCTGCCTTCCTGTGAGTGCCAAGGGGGTATAGGAGTCCCGAGCGGCGGTGGCCGTCCCTGGTGAGGCTCGCCCTTGGGACACCCAGCATGGTGGAACAATCTCCCTCTTGAGATCAGGGCCCTGCAGGATTTGCTACAGTTCCGCAGGGCCTGCAAGATGGAGCTTGTTCCACTGGGCTTTCGGATGAGGCTGTGGAAATCCAAGTCTTCCTCAGCCTCCCCTGCTGACAATGCTGGCCAAATGAAACCAACTTAAACTGAGCATCACTGTCGAGGCGAATCCACCCTGATTATATTTGGTTTGTGTTTTGATAGAAATATGGTTTTAACTATTAGGATTATATTGTTATTTATGTGATTTGTAACCCACCCTGAGCCTGCTTGCAGGGAGGGCGGGATAAAAATCAAACTAACTAAATAACTAACTAGCTAAACAAATTTATCTAGGTAATAATCACATTTTTAAGACAGAAGAGATTGACAGGGCAGCCCTATGTTGAGTTATTCCAGTCGAAGCCCACTGATTTCAATAAGCTTAGACTATAGTAACTTTTCACAGGATTTCACTGTTAGAGTAAGACAAGACTGATATTTTTGTATAAAAATGCATTGATGTGGTAAGCAAATCAGATTTTTCTGAATGGAACTTTGTGAAGAGATCAGATGAAATTTCTATCTGTGCATGAAGGGTTTACAGAAACTCTCTAAAAGCAGTGTTAAGACAATAACCAGAAAGCTGGTTTTGGTTAAACAGGTACTTGCTATAATACGGTTCCTAAAATGTTAGGAGGAGGAGGAGGAGATTGGATTTATACCCCATGGCCCTTCACTACCCAAAGGTGTCTCAGAGCGGCTTACAAACTCCTTTCCCTCCCCCTCCCCACAACAGACACCCTGTGAGGTGGGTGGGGCTGAGAGAACTCTGACACAAACTGCTCTTTTTCAAGGACAGCTGTGCCAGAGCTTGTGACTGACCCAAGGTCACATCAGCAGGTGCAAGTGGAGGAATGGGGAATCAAACCCGGTTCTCCCAGATTAGAGTCCGCCGCACACTTAACCACTACACCAAACTGGTTCTTTTTAATAAGTTTGGTCCCCCCCCCCCCATAGCTACAGGGTTCATTTTCACATGCTTGCATGTTCTAACATCTTGTCTATTAAAGAGAACTATTTTTTTGTACACAGGGTTGAGCTTGGTTTGTCTTGGTGGTACTGCTGGACTCTAGCTTCATTCTCACATCTTTTTGTTAAAACTTGCATTTGCAAGCTGATCCAATTTCAGCTCTGCATCTGCCTCTTGGCTCTGAGTGGCCCCTCCTAACAGCTGCCCCCACCCTTTTTTCCTGTAAGCCTTTGAAGAGATTTGATTCCATTGTATCTGAAGAAGTGTGCATTGCACACGAAAGCTTACACTTTGAATAAAACTTTGTTGCTTTTAAAGGTGCCACTGGACTTAAACTTTGTTCAGTAACAAACTCTCTGAAGGTTTCCTATAATTCACAATTATTTCATTTGTACTATCAGATTTAAAGGTTGATAGACAACTTTTGGAGCTGCGGTGGCTCAAGTGGTTAAGACGCTGAACTGCAGGCTGTGGAAGGTCAGTAGTTCAGCAGTTCGAGACCCGGGTGCCACATGATGGAATGAGCTCCCATCTCTAGTTCCAGCTCCTGCCAACCTAGCAGTTCAAAAGCAAGAAATTGCAAGTAGATAAATAGGTACCACTTCGGTGGGAAGGTAACAGCGTTCCATGCGCCTTGGTGTTTAGTCATGCCGGCCACATGACCACGGAAATGTCTTCGGACAGCGCTGGCTCTTCGGCTTGGAAACAGAGATGAGCACCGCAACCCTAGAGTCGGATTCGACTGGCTTTCGAGCAAGGGAACCTTTACCTTTACTTTACCTTTTAGACAACTTTTATTAGATAGATCCTGGCGGTAGCTGACACTAAATGTGGTAATAGATTAATTCCTTTAGAACCGTTTAGTCCAGATTTTCTAATTCGATGCTGGAGTAAAATATCTTGTTGCAAGGACACTATAGTGATATAGCTACTAATGATTAAAACAAAAGTTAAAAACTGGCAAAAAGCCAACCAGTGATGAAGTTGCACCAAATGTGGCCAAGTGGGGTACACAAATCCATACTCTCCCCAAACCCACCATGCATAATCTTTAAGGTAAAATCATACCAAATTGGGATTGGGAAACTGCAGAGTGGAGCTAAAGAAAACCTGGAAGGTGAATTATGGCACGACAAGGTTACATGGGAGCCCCCCCATTCCCCCCAAACCACCTGCAGTTTGGAGGGTGATGGGAGGGGAGTGTGGATCAAGAGTTCTTTGCAGAAGTGACTTAAGATACAAAGGTGTCAACCATTCAGGGTCAGCCATTCAGCCTTTCTTGAAGCAAGAAGTACACAAAGAAGGTACTGGGATCTAAAAGACCCCAAAGGGATTAACAATGTGGGTCATTGCAGCCCTCTGATGCCATTCCCACCTTCCATAATACCATTTCAGATTTTATTATTTTAACAGGAATACTGTCAAAATATGCTTTATTGCAAAAAATTTGGGCCCCCACTCCTTTCTGCTTGCAACATAAGACATGCATCAGATTTCAAAGAACGAGCTCCCTCCCTCCGGCTCCCCCATTGGCAGCCCCCCCGCATACCATCTGGGAAATCAGGATGACAAAGCTGCAAATCTTTGCAGGTACGAGCTGGGTTGTGCTGGGTGCCCAATGGATGCTTCATCTGCTCAATTTCCAGTTTCAGGGAGTTTAAGGAGCCAAAGATTTCCTCCATGCCTTCAGCATAATCCATGTAGTTGTCAGAGTTGCCTTCGTCAATCAATTGGCTGGCGTCGATGTTTCGCCGTGTCCTCTTAGAGGACTGGATAGGAAGGGGTTGGATCACTTCCCCTGGAGGGCCCTTGGATGAGAAAGGAAGACTGTGAGCTACAGCTCAGAGGCACAGGACCTTCTTTCTTTCTTTACTTATCTGATTTGTGCCCTGCCTTCCAAAGATAGCAAGTATCTTGAGCAGCGGGGTCGGAGGGGGGGGGAGGGAATCTCTGCAGGTTTGCTGACAGGGGAAGCAGAGAGCTTCACAGGAAGGAGTCACGGCTCAGTGTGGCAGAGGTCATGCTTCGTTTGCAGAAGGGTCTCGGGAATCTCCATGCAAAGGACCTTGGGGCGGCCAGAATCGCAAAGGCACCGCCAGCCACGACGGGCAGGACTGGATATTCGGGAGGGACCAAAGTTCTGACTCTGGCGTGGCAGTTTCACAGGATGAAGGGAGGACAACAGCAACAACATGGCACGGAAAGGAGACTCGGGGGGGGGGGGGGCCGCAGGGCTGCTGCTTAAAGGCGATACTCACGGGAGGCCCTGGAGGCCCTGGATGGCCCATTTCACCCTTTGGGCCCGTTGGACCCTGGACAGAAAGGAAGGAAATACAAAATCCATGTAACACCTTTGTTAGGGCAACCAAATGACACAAGAGACAGGGGTAACGGCCTTTTAGGGATCTGACAAAGGTACACTGAACACCCTGAAAGCTCCTAAACATTCCACCTGCCTACCTCTGTGGGATTTCTTTTTACTCAGCTCAGACCAAAAGGCAAAGTCTTCAGTTGCCGCCTTGCTGGAACAACCGGCACATGGAACATGAGCACTAGCTTTGGGGGCATTTTGGACTCATGCCTGAAAATAGCCACATGGCAAACATTTGCATGCATGGCCTCTACTTGCTCTTCTACTTGGGAAAAGCACACAGGAAAACACATCAGTAGAAGAGAACTAGTTGGGACCCCTGAAAATACATGAGGGACTGCAATTACTATGCAGGAGAGAAATGGTCCCTTTTCTTTAGCTCTTTAAATGAATCCAGTTTTCTTCTGCCCCTGTATGCTAGCATCTCCTACCTGTGACTCTAGACACATGGAGTGGGAACACATGTCAAATCAGAGGGAATTGTTTCAAACTCCCGCTGCTTTTTCTGCATAAATAGGGGTAGAGACCTTCTCCTACCCTGCCTGGTACCCACCTGGACTGCATAAGGACACTTGGCTTTAAAAACAGATCAACAGGTGGGTGGGGTGGAGGGGCGTGGCCTGTTAATCTCCCCCCTCCCTGCCTTCATGGGCTGCCATCAGAGACCATGGCTACTTTCTTCTGCTCCAAGGGGAAACAGAGTTCAAGGTGGTTCCTATAAGGAGACACCACCGAGAACAAGATGGCACCTCCGAGGAACCAAAACAGGGCTCTGGAGACCATGCTGGAGATGGCAGCCGTGTGACGTGGTCTCATGGGAAGGTGATGGAAGGTGCGGGAGAAAGACTGAGTGAGAGGGGCTGGGAGAAGGAGAAAAGGGCTGCCCCCCCCATCCCTCCCAACAGACATATGGGCTACAGCCAACTTAAGAACCACTACACCATTCCCACAACTACTGAAATAATCTCCAGTTTTGACATGCATGCTCACCGAAGATCCTTTAGCACCTTTTGGACCAGGGGGACCCTAGAACAAAGAAAGGGTAAGCAGTTGATTAAATATATATATATATATTTGCAAGACCAAACCAATTAATCCTGGATACATTTTCCCTAACTTCAAATCTGAAGGATACATCTGCTCTAGCCAGCGAACCCATTTTTTTAAAAATCCAGAATTAGGATAACTTTTATAGTAAATGTCTGAAATTAGGTAGATGCAAAATGTTTGATGGTTGTTCAATGACATATCCTAGGGACTGACCACTGCTAGCTGGGGGTAAGAGACCTCCTCCCCTGAGCTGCCTCTGGGGACACTGGTGGGTCTGGCCACAGAGGAGGCCACGGCAACTAGTTCAAAGCATCATTTGGAAATGGGACCCTTTGTCTTTTCATTACTTACTGGTAACCCTGGAGGGCCGGGAGGGCCAATTGGACCAGAAGGACCCGAAATACCCTGGAGAAAGAAGCACAAAGAACAACATCATGAACTACAGTGAAGACACAGGTGTTGCTGACCACAAACTGAGGGAGAAGACCCTTCTAGCTTGGACCTTAAAACAGCTCACTACTTTTACTTACAAGTACATTTCAGTGGAACATATTAAAGCAAGCATGACATCTATTTCCAACAGACTCTTCCAGTAACCTACTGTCAGGTTCCCAGTCAACTCACTCTCCACACAGGCTTTCTTGAGAGAAGGTTTATTAAAGAGATTTGAGATGCTGAAAAGGTGAACTCTTTGTCAGGACTGAGGAGCAGAAGCAAGAACCCCGGCGTATAACTGAAGCCCACATTCCATGTATACGTCACATAATCATAAGTATAAGCAATCCTATGAACCCAGACAGATACAATGGTTCAACTAGCCATTCAAAAGTCTTATCTTCTTCAAGGAGACTCATGTGAAAGTTCCGTGAGGTGCTGCTTGGGGAAAAGGTTACAAGCGTTGCCTCCCTACATTACACACATTCACACAGTCTCTCTCTCTCTCCCCCTCCCACCAGGAATGTCAGCGAGGGTGAGTGATAAGTGGACGGCTGGATACATCTGCTTTAGCCAGGGAAACAAGCGAGAAGGGGTGTGTGGTACAGAGTACAGGTACAGAGAACAGAGCAGAAGGTGAGCCCGAGTCTGACACCTACCTGTTCTCCTTTAGCCCCCGATCCTCCCTGTGGGCCTGGCAGACCTCGGTCTCCTTTCTCTCCTTGCTCACCAGGAGGCCCAATGAGACCAATCAAGCCTGGATGACCCTAGAAAAATTAAAGGTCATGTTTCAAGTTTCCAGGCAAAACAAACAAAAAACTATTACCATAATATGTAGCAATCATATTCTGGGTTACATGCAATCTTTTCCCTTGTGAGAGAAGGGGGGGGGGAAACCCCTTTCCAATTCAGTAGTCCCAGTGTGGGATTATAACACACGTAACATGGACCTGTTTGCGAATACCAAATGGGATGCCAGCAGATATAAAATGCAGTGGACAAATTTCTCAGACTGAAGTTCAGGTTTGAAATTCCAAGGCCTAAAAAATTCTGTTTGGACATGGAATGTAGTTCTCCCACTGAGGACCTCAAATCCATTTAGCAGGATTACTCAGAAGTAAGTCAGAAGAGAAGAAACTCAGCTGTTGCAGCGGACAAGATCTGGGTCAAGACGCACGCAGCCCCTCACCTTTTCTCCCTTTGGACCAGAATCTCCTTTCAAGCCAGGTAAACCAGGAGGACCCTGAGAACAATACAAAGATGCACATTGAAAATACATACTATTTCCCCTTAAATTCATTGTGAAACGAGAAACTAATCCTGGATGGAAATTTTAAATTCAGATGGAAATTCAATTTTTCAGTTCCGCTGCTGGATGATCTCCCAGTCAAATTTCAGTCACATCTGAAGAGTGTGTTTCTGTGCGTCGGACTGTGGAGTGGGGGGTGCACATTGGGGAGACCATGGATTCCAAGCAGGGCCATGTGGGCAGGGCAGTTCTCATTCACAAATCCATCCAAACCATGGCTGTGGTTCATCAGGTGATCTGTGAAATCAGCTTTGCTAGACTGGAGGATCTGATACTTAAGATACAGTTGAGAGGATGCAAAGTCCCTTTGTGAACAAGCAGGAAGGGGTGGGGCCCCCACACATACCAGTGGGCCTGGTGGTCCGTCTGGGCCTGGGGCACCCGGAAGTCCTTGTTCGCCCTGGAAGACAACCATCATCATGAGCAATTCTTAAGTCCTGCAGACCAAGGTACGGCTTCCATAGATTAGTAAGGTGTGGACTTTGCCATATTTATGCTTTAGACAAGTGAGGGACCCATTAGGAACTCATGGGGGGGGGAAATTCAGCCCCCACTTCCTCCCCTCTCTCTCAGCCTCCCCCCTCCCTGTCTCCCACCCAGCCCTCCCTTCACCACTGCCCCTCCCTGCTGCCAGCCACCTTCTCCTCTCTTGCACTTTGGCAACGTTCTCTGGGGTTGCTAAGCAACCTCAAAATGGTGGCCGAGATGTTGTGCTGCAGCATCATGATGAGATCCTTCTTTTTTCCTTAAAACACTTCTTCTCAACAGTTTCGTTTTAAGACACCCTTGGTTTTTTGGGAACCTGGGGCTTCTCCCAGGCTTGTAGAAAAACCTCCCCTGTCACTGAGTGCCCCCCCCCCATGCAGATTTTTCATTTGCAGTGCATGCGGCATTAGAAATATATCTTTCTTCCCATAGTTGGCTTACAATAATATTAAGGGGTTGGGTCCTGCCAGCGCGTCTGCTGTTTTTGGCCACTGAAAGGGCTCTGCGGGGGGCCATGGGGCGGACTGGACAAAAGCCAAGTGGAGGGGAGGCTGAACTGAGGAAGGGAAGGGGGTGAGCACAAGCAGAAGGCTGGAAGGGCAGTAGACCAATAGTCACCATAAAATAAAGCCAAAAATTAGTGAATGGGGGAGTTTCATTTGATCAGCAGATATATTCCCTCATCTTCCTGGTCACCATAGGGCAGCCTGCTGCTGGAACTGCATCCCGCCCCCCCCCCCCCCCCCCATATATAGCCGATGGCCCCACGCATTCTACACCCTAGCAGGGAGACTGGGCAAACTCATCAGCGGAATACACAGTGAAGGATGGAGAAAAAAAAGGGAGAGGAAGGAATGGGAAAAGGGGACCCCTGTCCAATCTGGGCCCTAAATCAATCCTGTCCTGGAGGGCAGGCAAGACTGCCCCATACCCACAAGGAGGTCAGGTGGTTTACAGAGATGGCAAAAATCCCATCTCTTCCTCCAGTGAGCAACCCGCTTACAACGAAGTGCTCTCTCTCTGGAGGGGAGCAAAACCAGCCCCACAGGCAGTGACACCTGCAGAGAACTGGCCACCAGCCTCAAAAATATATGACCTGGCGTACAGATTTCCTTAATGGGCAAAACATGTGTATGGTCTGAAGAGAAACTAGAGTATGTAGACTTTCTTCCTAAAGGTACTCAAAATCTGTTTTAAGTGCTGTAACTTCTGCAAGATTAGTCTTGCTAGATACTGGGAAAGGAACATAACTCCAAATAAAGAGGAGTGGTAGGAGAAACTAAAGGAATGTGTACAATTGTGTAAACTAACCTGTATGTTGTATGGTAAACGATAAGTTTGATCAATGGAATGGTATTCTGACTAAGACGGAGAATTGAACCTAAAAATATCTGTATGGTTTGTTTATAGAACTGAAGATGAATTTGTAAAGCCTGGTATCCAACTTTCTTTTTACTGCATAACATTTGTATTTAATGAAAAATGTCCTTAATTGGACACAAATGGTGACTCCATGAAAGGAATACCAGTGATATCCTGCAGAGGTTTTTCCCCCCTCCTGTCCAGCTATGAGGATGCCCAATTAGCCACCTCTAGATTGAGAATATGGAGCTCTTAACTCTGAGAGGAACTTTCACAACAAAACAAAAAAGTAGAATATCCAAGTCAAATTTCTGAGACCTGTACCATCTTAACTGTGCCATTATTCTTCCCTTAGGAAAAATGGCATCTACCTTAGTTATGAAAGCAGAGTTGTGACAGTTCCATGTCATCATGGTGGTTAATGCACAAATTCCTGGCGGAGAGCCAGTGTAGTTAGAACATCAGGTTAAGACCAGGAGATCCAGAGATCCAGTTCAATCCCTGCTTTAGCAAGAAACTCATTGGCTGCTGATTGGAAACTTGCTATCCCTCAGCCAAAACTACTTCTCTGGAAGAAGTGCAGGATAAAATTCTGCTAAAATAAATGAATAGTTGAAAAATAGTATGGGCAGCAGCTGTTATTGCCACTGCGAAGCCAGTCTTCAATGAGAACTCCTTCAACCAAATGGAAGTAACCAGAACTACCAGATGTTTAGGTGAAATGGATTCCTTGTTCTGCTTCAAAAGAGACACCTGATGCTTCAGGGTATTGGTGTTGAGGCCTCTTTGCAAAGCAGTTGCAAAATTCGTATAGTCTGGGAAGAGGGGGACAGTGGGGACTTATTTATTTATTTATTTAATTCTATTTGTATCCTGCCCTTCCCGTTGAAGCAAGCTCAGGGCGGCTCACATTAAAAAGTTAAAATACATTAAAACACGAATTCATTACATACAAAACACATCATAAAACTCATATACATTACAGATAATAATTCACCAATAAGTACAGTTCAAGTGCTAGTGGCAGTCAGACCCTATCAAGTGAGGCTCTTCTGGGAGCCAGAAAAATGGAGCCACCAAAGTCTTCTAGCTGCTGCCAGGCAGAAAAAAAGGGACCTCTTTGGGTGCGGGTGTCAAATGGGACCTGAGCCAGAAAGTTCTGTCACTGGAGAGCTCCAGACCAGTGGGGATGACAAGACAGCCAGACCTATAAAACAGGTCCTCTTTGGATACTGAAGGGCCACCACATCAGCATCACTTCTGCCCAACTGACTGTGGTCTTCTGTCAGCATTCCAGAAGTCAGAGGAAGAAGAAGAAGAGGAGACTGGATTTCTACCCTGCCCTTCACTACCCAAGGGAGTCTCAGAGCGGCTTACAAATTCCTTTCCCTTCCCCTCCCAACAACAAACACCCTGTGAGGTAGGCAGGGCTGGGAGAGCTCTTGATAGACACTGCTCTTTTTCAAGGACAGCTCTTATCAGAACTACGGCTTGCCCAAGGTCATCCAGCCAGATGCAAGCAGAGGAGTGGGGAATCAAACCCGGCTCCTTATGGTCAGCATGCAGCCCATAACCTTTAGATCCTTGATCTGTGAAGCAAGTTGGAACAAACTTGAATGCTCTCCATTCCAGCCAGCTTGACATACTCCTTTGCCAGATCTCTCGAAGAACACTTAGATTTATAAAGTTTATATCTCCGCTACCTGTCATTACATTTTATGACACACACGGCCCGGCCCAACAAGGTCTCATTTATGTCAGATCCGGCCCTCACAACAAATGAGTTCAACACCCCTGCTCTAGGACATCCTGGAGGTTTTTGCCTTCCTCTGGGCACAGATCACTGGGTCACTGGGGGAGTGTGAGAAAGTAGTTGAGAATTCCCAGCATCATGCAGGGGATTGTACAAGATGGCCCTTGGGGTCCCTTCCAGCTCTATGTTTCTGTGTTCCTCTGAGCTTTCAAGAGCATCTGACAAAGCCCATAGGCCATGTGGGTCCCACTTGCAATGTTGTCCTTATATAGATGGGGCAGAGTGGATTGAGTGGGGGTCCCAGGAGGGAGGATCCAGATTCCCTGCTGCCTCCTTGAAGAATTACTTTCCCCTCCCCCGAGAGAAGGCAAATGAGCACTGGAGCCACCTCTGCCCCCGGACACTGGAGGGGGGGGGAAGCACCGTCTCCCCCGTATGTGCTTCTGATCCAGGATTTTTCTCATGCTTGGAAAGACCATGAGATCCTACAAATCAGTCTGGTAACGGTCCTTTTCTCATCTTACTAAAAAAATCCATTCCACTGAATAATCCCCAACGATCCAGATGTTTTCCCAACAGAAGGTTTTACTGGAGGAGGACCTTACTGGTGGCCAGGAGGAGCAGCAAGCTCAGTGAACAGAAGGCCCTACAGCCACCAGTCAGAAGAAACAAGAGTTATTCCATTTTTCCTCTTCTAAAAAAATCTTGTTTTTTAAAGTACTTCTCTACACTTTTATCCAAATGTAACCCACATAGTCCAGAAATAAATACGAAGATACTAGTTTTCCTAAACCCAAAATGACCCTTACTTCCAGCCACCCAATCTGGACCAAATAAAAAGCATTCTGCAAAATGCTGGGCTGTGGGCCTTAAGAAGAAGAAGAACAAGAACAAGAAGAAGAGGAGGAGGAGGAGATTGGATTTATACCCTGTCCTTCACTCGGAGTCTCAGAGCGGCTCACAAACTCCTTTCCCTTCCCCTCCCCACAACAGACACCCTGTGAGGCAGGTGGGGCTGAGAGAGCTCTGAGAGAACCTGCTCTTTTTCAAGGACAGCTCTTGTCAGAACTATGGCTTGCCCAAGGTCATCCAGCCAGGTGCAAGTGGAGGAGTGGGGAATCAAACCCGGTTCTCCCAGATTAGAGTCCGCGAACTTAACCACGACACCAAACTTGATGTGGGGAGCTCTACCATTACGTGGCAGCCCCAGTTAATGCCCAGCTGTGTCCTGACCTTCTATGGGAAGAACTCTGGAACACTCACCACAGGGCCGGGGATTCCTCGCAGTCCATCTGGACCAGGTTTTCCTGGCGGTCCCTGAGGGCCCACAGGGCCTGTTTTCCCAGGAGGCCCTTCCAAACCCGCTTCACCCTGAAGACAAGAAGCAATGAAAACCAGGCTGCAGACAAGAACAGATAGACGCAAGCTGGGTTTGACTTTTCTGTGCCTCTAAGACCGTCAGTGCTTTACCTTGGCTCCCTTCTCTCCTTGCCGGCCTTCAGGACCTGCTGGACCAGGAGGGCCCTAAATGAAAAGGGGAGAAAAGCAAGAATTACAGCCAGCCTAGTGAAAAGGACTGGCTGAAAAGATACTCTGAGAGGTGACAAATAGTGCAACTAACGCATGAGAACTGAAAGCTAATCTCCGACCCAGACCAGTCTTAGTCAAAGGGATGATCAACTGATGCTTTGAGGAAGGTGGACCTCCTCTTCCCCAAATGCAAGAAAGGGCTGCTTGGCTCTTCTGCGCATTGATACCCACAAGCCTCAGCTCAGCTGCCCAGATGTCAATGCGGGTTTCTCGTGAGCTTTCCTAACATGTGCAAGAAAAAACTTACTCTTTTTCCTGGTGGCCCCGAGGGGCCTGGCTCTCCAGTTGGACCAGGGGAGCCCTGAAGAGAGGAGAGAACATTATTACATCGACAAGAAGAACAATGGCTGAATCATCCCTCCAACAGAGCCCAGCTTGCCACAGTGCACCCAGAGTAGCGTGGGCTTCCTGTCAGTCTGTTGGAAGGGAAGCAGATCCCAAATGCCTCATCGCCTGGAAACAGGGCCCTGGCTTGGGATGGCATGGCGGAGAATGAGTGCATTTCACCAGGGCCCAGAGCCAAGGCCACAAGCTCATTACTATGCTACATGCTATCTATAATGCCAGGAATAAACCTCACAGTTTTGTTTCATGGTTCATGAGAGGGTGTAGGGGATGGTGATGGTTGAAAGTCCATTTCAGGTTTGGAGCAGGGAATCTTTGCCCTGCCTGGCGGCCATCCGCACTTGCTGTATGCAACTCGGCCAATGGCTACTGCATTAGAACAAACGCAGGCTCTCCGGGAACAAGTCTTGGCATGCAGAAGCCCCCGTTTCTAACAGGCAGATGCCACAGACTTGTATTCACTCACCGTCTGTCCAGGTTCACCATCATCACCTTTATCACCTGTTGGGCCATCCTGGCCCTAGAAGGAAAGGAAAAATGCTTTAGAAGAAGACACCTTGCCCAACCACCAGTCCACGTGTCTTGAAGGCAACACGTCACAAGCATACAAATCTGGAACGGAACTGCAGGTGCCTCTCCATACCCATATTCTCAACAAAGGCAGATGAAAAGATGCAGCCCATTGACAAATCAGCACCTACAACATCTGTTTCAACAGAGCTGTGTTGATTCTGCAAATGCAGATTCATTCCACAACCTAGAAGTCTGCCTCTTGAGAAAGTTACCTTTCTTCTTCTCCTCTTCTAAGATGCAAAGTTCTAACCCTCATGATTATAAAGGCAGAAAAAACCCAGGGATTATCTTCACGGCCACCCAGTTTTCTCCGCCCAGTTTTCTTTGGTGCCTCTGCAGTAAAGACCTGCAGGCTCAGAGTGAAATCCTGGGCACGCTCACAAGGGAGCAAATCCTATGGAGTCATGCTGAAGATTGTGCCACGTGAAATGCTTCTTAGAAAGAAGGATACAAATCTCGCCCTCCCTGAGGAGTACTTACAGCTGGGCCAGGTTCACCAGGAGGTCCGGGGTCTCCAGGAAAACCGACTGGACCCTACAGAAATATGGAAAAGATGGAAAAAGCATTATCTGCGTATGTCTACTAGATTTTGCTTGCTAAAGAGAGTGCAAGTACTTTGGCCAGACATCAGCAACTTGACAGCCAAGCTAGGGATGCAGAGGGAACATGAACTGTATTTATTTTATTTATATTATTATAGATTATATTACATATGTATGTATAATATATTACATTATAATATTCATATTATTATTATTATTATTATATTCTTTCTTTATATTATTTACTATCTACCTTTCTCACTGAGACTCGAGGTGGATCACACCAAGCAAATCAACACAATCAGTTGCATGAGTCAATTGCGCTCAATAACCCCGGAGCACCCAATGGAGGGCTCGCAGGATGGGTGCAACAGGGTTAGGGTTCTCCTACCTCCTGATAACAACTGAGTGGTGGCGTCCTGCACTCACTGGCACTGTAGTCTAGTTGTGATATCACTTTGGCACAGATTCAGGTGGCCAGGTAGGGGGCCGACTTAAACTAAATTGGAAAACATTTTTTGAAGCTGCATTAACTTGCTTCTCTAGTAGCAATGCTGGGTCCAGTATAAACTCTTAACCAAGTCAGCAAAGAGTCAGCCAAACCCCATCAAAATTACAACATCATTCAAGACCTGAGGCTTTCCAGCTAGCATGGCCTCTGTCTTGTCTGGGTTCCATTTCAATTTGATCCCTTTCAGCAATTGAGCACAGCAGTCAGGCAGTGGCTCAAAACCTCTATCATGTGGCCAGCGCATTCGGACAGAGACGTCTTATGGGGGGGGGGAGAGATATGGGGTTTGACATTTTCTTTTTGGTTTAAACTGAAAATGTTTTTAACTCTTATTGTAAGCTGCCTTGAACCACAAGGAAAGGTGGGATAAAATTTTTAATACCCAAGTAAAATAAATAAACATACAACTCGAAAGCTACAAATGATTTCTCCTAAAGGCTTTACATAGAGATGGAATAACATGGGGGATGACTGTACCCTGTGGAACCCACAGGACAGTTCCCAAACTGAAGACAAATGGTCTCCTACAGCAACCTTTTGAGTTTGATCCATGAAGAATGAACCAAGGAACATCCACTGATACCTACTCCTGCATCCAGCTGCCTCAACAGGATGTCAAGATTTCCCACCACATCAAAGGCTACAGAGAGACCCAGGTGGAGCAACAAAGACACATGGCCACCATCAGATGGAGGTAATCAGCTCAAGCAACCGGGGCTGTCTCTGTCCCATAGCTTGGCCTGAAACCAGACTGAAAAGGGTTCAGTAAGACCTGGAGTTGGTCGGCTTCTGATTTCTCAATCACTTTGCAGATAAAGGGCAGATCAGAGGCAGGTCTGTAGGGATGGTTTTTTATTTGTTCATACAAATAACCCCCATATCTAATGCACCAGTCCCAAAACATCCCTGATTTCATTCAAGTAGGATTTGCAGACCAGAGTATTCAGCAAAAATATATATGAAACTAAAGCCAAAGCAGCCTAAATTGTGCCTGAAGAGGTCCACGGAAAAATGCTCTAAACAGAGACTTGGATCAATCACCTATCATCACTGGGTAGCAGTGTGTGTGAACAAGAAGTGGAGACGAAGGGCTTAAGTCCTGCCCCCCGCATGACGCTGTTCTCCACACCTGAAAAGGCCCCGGGGAGCTGCTATTCAGTACATGTAATTCCCCCTAACTGGGCAAACAATAGCTCTCCATGGCCATCTCACATTGGGAAAATGCCACACGTGCTCTTATGTGGAGGCTGTCGTGCACCTGGGAACCCAGTGTAGAGCTCCTGGCATAGGTCTAATCTGAAGCCCTGGCGGCAGCACCAAGGGAATTTGGTCATGTGGCCTGGCCCCTACTCTCCCAGCCAGAGAAGAGTCACAGACAGGGCAGGTGATTCTCGCCTGTGTCTGGGAAGTCCTATCCCCGAAACCTACTCGCGGGTCTTAGTCAGCCCCTGCGCTCTTAGCCTCCGCTCCGTGCAGGCAAAATGGAGTTAATATTGACAACTTCAAGAGGATTACCAAGTTAATGCACATGAAAGGCTCTGACTACTCAAAAAGTGCTCTGTAAACACCAAACCTGATGATCAAGGAGCTCAGGGCAATGTGTGGAGAGGAGGGGAATCCCCCCCCTTCCTCCAGTGGCACCTTCCTCCTTTCCGGCGAAAAGCTCAATGCCAGGAGCTGCCCTGCCTCACTCACACACCCTCACAGTCACTTCAGTCCTCTGTGGCAGACGCAGACGCTGGCCGCGCTCCTGCCGACACACAGCAGCAACCCCAAGGAAGGTCTGATTTAACATTCCTGCCAACGTCACAGTCTGCTTCCTGCTCTTGGGGGAAGTATGCCGGGATGTCCAAACGCTCTCGCCACAATGGACCAGCTAGGCTCCTGATGCCAGGGACAGTGGAAAACTCTGGCCCGGCACCCCCAGGCCTCCCAAAAGCTGAAGGTGAAGAGTGGGATATCAAACACTCTGGGGGAAAGCGACGCTTGATGCACATCCCGTAAGAAGAGGCCATCTCAGTCTGAAAAGCCAACTGAGGCAGGGGGTGCAAAAGGAACGTGTTCCCTCAGCCCTGGGAAGCAGATTAGGTTGGCTCTGAGGTCACAGAAACCTCTTTTAGGCCTCAAACCTTCTCTGAGGGGCAGCAGCAGCCGCAGCAGCAACATTGGTCTCTTTCATCTGAATGCAGAAAATAAATCAGGCTCAAACTTACCGGAGGACCAGACTCTCCCGGCAGGCCAGGCTCTCCCGCTTCTCCTGGTTCGCCCTGTAAGTTGCAGAAAGAAAAACTGGCATCACATTTACTTTTGATATGGGGAAGGGCTCTCCCGTCTCACGCACCCCCCTACTTCCCTGAATCAGCAAGGGACCAGCTCCCCTGGCACGGCCCATCTGTGTCCCTCTCTGCAAAGGCCCATCAGAGCCCACCAACCCTGAGTCCAAAACCACGGCCTTCCCTGGAAGCACCCCTCTGGGCCCTCGCCATTCTAGGCAGGGATTGCTGCCACATCAACAGCCCCAACAAAATGCCTGCTCCCTTGGTCCCGGCCAGCCCCATGGGTGACAAGAGGGGGCAGACGCTGGGTCCCCCAGTTTGCTGAGGCCCTTTGGAAGCCGAATGAAAAAGAAGAGTGATGAAAAGGCATCGCGTGATTTCTGCTCCCCCCCCCCCCCCGCGATGCTCCCCTGCCCCAAAAGGAGGTCTTGCCAAAAGCATCTGGAAACCTCAGTTGGTTCAGGGACAATTTAAAGTGCGGCCCTTGAGCCATGAATCCTTCGGTGGTCTGGAATCAGTGCATCTACCTCCATGCACCTGCCCACATTTCCACGTCCTCTCTCCAGAGGTGCCCACCTGTTCTGAGGCCGGGGGTGTGGCCACTGGGGGCAGGCCTCGTCTGTGACACGGCCCCAGTCAAGCAGCTCCCTCCCTGGGGAGACTCACCTGGCTAGAAAGAAGCCTGACAAAGGGCCAATATTTATTGTCTACAGAAGGAAAGTTCAGCAGCGAGGCCAACGGGCACACGGCAAGGGCGCTCACGAGGCCTCCTGGGACGGGAGCCGTGGGTCTGGCGCCCAAAGGCACCTGGCTGCTGGACTTTCCTTTTTTGGTCCAGTATTAATATTTTGATTGTTATTTCATTGTAACATGTGTCTATCTGTACCTCAAATGGCTTGACCTCTGAAAAAGGCCCCCATGGGGCAGAAATGTGTCAGGTCACTCGTACTGGCCCTTGTGTTCAGGTCACTCGTACTTTGCAGCAAGGCTTTCATTGGGCCCTAATATGGTTTAAACCGTCTTCCTAATAAATACCCATATTTTTGTATCTAATAAGTATACGCTAGGCTTTTAATACTGGCCCTTTGTCAGGCTTCTTTCTTACCCTTGTGGTTCTTGGGTCAATTTTGTTTTCCCCTCCCCGTGTCTTTACTGAGACTCACCTGGCACCACCTTTATCGCCTTCTGGATGCCACCTCTGCAGGCAAGACAAGCATGCCAAGGGCCTCTCTCAGCAGTCTAGAGGACAGTCGACTGCGCTCCCTTGATAGCTGTGGGCGCCCACTGATGGTCTCTTCCTCCCACGGCCAGAGGTCATTTCGGGGGGGAACGCGGGGGA